CACCTCAGCCTCCCAAAGGCGCGGGATTACAGGCTGAGCCACCGAGCCCGGCTAGGTGTTACATTTTTAAATGTGGAAGCTTCAGGAAACGCCAGCCAGGCAGGGACACATGAACGGCTGCCGTAGTGGCTGGGTTCACTCTGGGCTGGCCAGGAAGGAAGGGAGAGGCCCCAGCGAGGTTGGCCTTGGCTGTGTCATCATACAAGGGAACCAGAACCAGGGGGCTTGAGGGACTGGGGGGGGCGGAAACAAGGCAGGGCATCCTGACAGGAGGCCCAGGTGGGACGGCTCCAGGTGACAGCAGGCTGAGGGGCACACCCTGGAGGTGGCCATGAAGACCGGCCCATCCGGAGGAAAGAGGGCCCGTGAGGGGCAGGGCTGAGGGGTCAGGCAGCCCCCAGAGGTCACTTTGCATTTTTAGAATAGACTTGGTAGAGGGCCCAGGCTGAAAGGAGCTGGAGACGACTGCTGCTGATGGGGTTTGTCTCCTTAGAGCCGACTTGGATGCCAAGGCCACACCTCGGAAGGGTCTGACCTCAGAGAGCCAGGACTCTTCGCCTTCAGCAGTTTCCGCCTCCAGCACTGCAGAGTCCTGATCCAGACCAAGGTGAGTGGCCACAAGGGGCCTTGGGAGGCTGTACCCACACTGCAGCCCGTGCCTCTGCCTCCAAGTCACTTAGTTATTCCTTTAATTCTCGTGGGCTGATGAAAAACAAACACTCACACTATCTAGGGCATGCAGGCAGAGCAGTGGTGCCACCGCAGGTGCCAAGGAACATGTCCTCCATGAGGACCTGTGGGGCCCAGGACCCGGGAGTTAAGGGGATCTCCCAGAACTGGCAGGAAGGGCCAGGCAAAGGCAGTGGATGCTGGGCAGTGATGAGGGGGGCAGGGAGGCAGGCCCAGGCTGACTGTGGACTCCCGAGGGCAGCTGGAGGACCAGTTGGCAGGTGGCCCCCTTGGCGGCTGGCAAGGCCCTGCTGCCTTTCCGCCTCATCACAGAGGGCTCAAGGCAGGGAGAAGGTGATGGCAGGAAAGGGGCCTTCATCCCGCAGCCCTCTCTTGCTGGAGAGGAAAAGCCTTTCTGGGCTGGGGTCTCAAACCCACCTTTGGATCGAGTATTGGAGGAGGGGCAGGATGGCTGGGTCCAATTCGCTGGGCCTGCTGCTCAGCCCGGAAACCACACAGACGTGCTGTGAGGCCCAGGAGGCAGTGGGAGTGGCTCTTGGGTGGCCATCAGCATGGAGTCGTTTGCAAGGAATTGCAGCGGGTGGCCAGCCCCAGGCCCAAAGTGGCTGAGCAGAGCTGGGATGGCAGGGGCACAGGTGCTATGGCATGAGGGACAGATGGGGCAGCTTCTGAGCTAGTGTGGCTCTGCCCAGCTGGCATGGGGAAAGTGCTGTAGGGTCAGCACTCGGGTGATGGGTGTCGGGTACTGTGGGGTTCCCCGGAGAGGACCCAAAGGCCAAGGAGGGGTGCAAGGCAGATACCACGCCTGACCACTGTCCTCTCCTCAGCTTTCAGGGCATCCTGGCAGCCAGCAAGGGAGCCTGGCGACGTACAGCCTCTTCCTGAAGACCCCTCTTCGTGGCAGAAGGCAGCACATCACAGTTCCAAGGAAGATGTTCACACCACAAAACCTAAAACTGATGCTATTTAAGTGATGTTTGCTAAAAACCAGCAGCACCTTGCACCCTTGTGGAAAATTGTACATTTCTTCCTAGGGGGAGGGGGGATTGGTACTGGAAACCAGAACGATTTTGTGGCGACACTTCCCGGGATCTCTGTGGAGACCGTCATGCTCCATGCTTCAGGTCTAGCCAAGAGGAATAAGGGTGCATCTTAACAGAGCCAGGCATCCCAGGGACAGGGAGGTTTCTGGCACTGTGGTAGGCTGCCAGGGTGCAGGTGGCACCCATGGCCCACACACATCTAGTGCTGCTGGCTCATGGTGGATCCCTGGGCTGGGCCCCAAGCCTGGCTTCTGGGTTTCTTGGCTGGGGGATGCCTCATGATCAGACCTGCGAGTTTAGATGAAAGGGGAAGACACTGCGACATCGCAGGGGGATGGCCGTCAGAGCATCAGTGCTTCTGCTGGTCGCTGCCTGGCACGTGCGAGGGTGGGCAGGCGTGCTCTTTCCTGGAGACCCTGAGGCGCCCTTACCCGCTCCTACCCACACCCCTTTCCTCCATGTGGACAGGAGGCTGCACCACACCCGCCCCAGGGGCCTCTGACGGGTCAGCAGACCTTACCTGGTTCTGCTGGGAAAGCTGTTCTCTTCCAAGGGCAGAGCGGTGCTGCCGGTCTGACTTGCATTTTTATTAGATGAAATGGCCAGGACAATCCTGTGTTCTTGCTGATCATGGACTCTCCCAGCTGATGCCTGACACCTGTCCCGGGGGAGGCCCAAGGTCTGGAGTCTGGGGACCGTGGCCAGGCTGGTGAGTGCTGGTACTCTGGGGGGTGACACTATTCTGGCTGAGGCCATGTGAGACACCAGCCTCCCTGCCCACATGGTTGTCATGGGGATGTGTGCAGTGACATGTTCCTGCAGTGACAGGGAGAAGGGCCATCCCCACATGCCACACACACACGTGCCCCCGCCACCTCGCTCTGCTGATGCCAAGTTGGGTGCGGCCTTGATCTTCATGATGAGGGACAGTTCAGATTGGGTTTTGCTTGGTGTCAGATGTCTGGGACAGCGCCTTAATTTTCATTTTCGACCAGAAGAGGGCATGAATTTGGAGACATTTTCCAAATGCTGCTTCCTTCAATACTGTCTTTGGGACCCATGCAGACCAGGCACCTGATCCTCCCATGCTTTGACCAGGTAGCAGCCACAGAGGCTTCTCTGTGTAAACCATCACCAAGTGGACACTGACAATTTGGGCGCATATGGACTCTGCTTATGCTTGTGGTAACTCAAGTTTTAAAGTTACAAACAGCCAGGAGTGGTGGCTCACACCTGTAATCCCAGCATTTTGGGAAGCTGAGGTGGGCAGATTGCATAGTCCAGGAGTTCCAGACCAGCTTGGGCAACATAGCCAGACCTTGTCTCTTCAAAAGTTAAAAAATTACCCAGGCCTGGTGGCACGCACTAGTCTCAGCTGCTTGGGAGGCTAAGACGGGAGAATTGCCTGAGCCCAAGATGTCAAGGCTGCAGTGAGCCAGAATTGTGCCACTACCCTTCAGCCTGGGCAACAGAGCCAAGACCCCAACTCAAAAAAAGCTACAAACGAAATAAAAGGACAGCGAGGGGGAAGCCAGACTTTGGGTATGAGGTGAATGTTAGATGACATTAAGGAATGATAACTAATTCTGTAACTACGATATGGTATGTGGTTGTGTAAGATAATGTATTTTTAAAAGTTTAACCTCCAGCCTGGGCAACTTGGCAAGACCTCATCTGTACAGTAAAAAGAAAAAAAATTAGCTGGGAGTGGTGGCACATGCCTGTAGCTCCAGCTACTTGGAAGGCTGGGGCGGAAGGATCTCTTGAACCCAGCAGGGTCAAGGCTGTGGTGGCTGTGAACATGCCAGGCACTCCAGCCTGGGTGACAGAGTGAGACTCCAGCTCAAAAAAAAAAAAAAAAAGTTTAACCCGTTTTTAGGGTCAGGATGTCCGTTTAAGATTTGCTTTAACATTCTTTCAGAAGCACAACAGAGTTAAGGCAAGCACTGCTCAGTCTCAGCCAGCCTGGCCACCAGTGCAGCCCAAGTGCTGAGCGCCAGCATGCGTTGCCTTCAGAAGGGAAGTCCGGGGGTTGCAAAAACACAGGGTGGCTGGGCGTGCAGGAGCTGTGGCTTCTGTGGGACTCTCGAGTCCTTGACTCCCCTCAGCACGAGACTGGCCAGATCTGTGGGTGAGGGACACACAGGCCTGGGCCAGGTGCTGAGGGTATAGCGCTGTGGGAGAGGCGGCCAGGGTGCAGGAAACTGAGGATGGGTTGGGACCTGACCACTGCCCAGCCTCGCCCCTCTGCACCCATTCCAGCTGTACACATGCACCCTCCCTCACCATCTGAGAACGTCCCTATAGTGCCAGCCAGGGCAGAGAGTGCTCCTTCAGCCACTTTCTCTCTACAAGACCGGCCTTCAGGCTGGCTTGGTACAGCCAGTCCCCAAACATACTTGGCCTCTGGCCATAGACAGGCCCAGGTACCTGCTCTGTGTCCTCCTGGCCCTCAGAGGGTGGCTGTCTCTGCTTGCTGCCTTCACCCAGTGACAGCTATGGAGGCCACACAGCCGGGCAGGCAGTCTAGACAGGGAGAACAAGCCCAAGACCATCAAGGGCATCTGCCAACGTCCCCTCTGGGCCAGGGTCACCATCTCGACACCTAGGTGTGTTAGATCAATAAATACACTGTGTGCATGTTAAACTACCTGTTAAACTACCGACTAGGCTAGATAACATGCTTGCTGCCCTTAGGGGTGGCCTGTGGTAGGCCCCAGGAAACAGGGCAGAAGCTTGGGCAGAAGCAGAATTTCTGCTTGTGAATAAGCATTTTGTCAAAATTATTAAACGCTTGGGGAATTTGTTGTCTATCAAAGTCAATTTGTTCCCACATGCTTGAAAATACCATCTACACATCGATTTAACTTGGAAAGAAATTCTGGAAAAACAGTCGACTGTTCAGCCACTGTGGACATGGTGGAAGGAAGCTGTCTTGATTCCCGAGTGGCAGACTGAGTAAGCGTCCAGGAAGCAAGGTTCCCACTACACCAGCTCCCAGCCTCCTTCACCAAAGGCCACAGCTCTAAGTCTAGCAGGTCCTTCACCTGCAGAACCTGGGTGCAGCTGCCATCACATGTGGAATGTTTCAGCCACACTGATGCCCCCCGCCCCATCCACAGGGCCTTCAATAACGTGTTCTTGACAAGCATTCCGAGCGCGTTCTCAGGGAGCCCCTACTCTTGGGTCATGTTCTCTGGGTAGCACGTTACCATTCTGAAGGCTGCCAAGGTGGACACTACAGCTGCTACTCAAAGGAGCACAGGATGTGTCCAAAGAATGCTACAAAGCAGCAAGCAGTGCTGCAGGTTACTGCTATGAGACACACACCCTCTAAACTAGTTCCTGAGGACTCAGACTTTGAACATCAGGAGGGGGCTCTCAGGGGTATCTGCCGCAGGAGAGAGCCCACCCTGCTTGCCAGGAGTCCTCTCTGCAGAGCAACCCGCAGAGAGCAGGGTGGATGCAGGACAAGGCAGTGAGAGTTCTGCCTTGGAGCCCCATGTGGCTGGGAAGGTAAATGGAGCCACTTCCCACTTAAGGCAGCCCAGGGGGACTCCCGCCTCTCAGAGCGCCCTTAGATGCAGGCTGAGCTAGATGGTGAAGGAGGCTCACAAGGGTTGTGATAACTACCACATCTTCACGCTGTGGTTCGATAACTTTTTAATAAAGTGAGGTTTACATCACTGATATGTAAGGATGGTCATATGCACAAAAGAGAACGCCTTGAATGAGGAGTGGGGAGTTGGGAAGCACAAGCACAGGAGCCACGCATGGGTGCCCCAAGGCTCTCGGATTCAGGGCCGTAAGCTACGCAACTCAGACCACTTCCATTCCGGACTCTGCTCCAGCACCAACCTAACAGCACACTCGTGTACCTGGTGCACGGCAGCTTCCAGGGCCTACATGAACATCGCCTGTTGGATGCAAATGGGGGGGACTCTGAGGTCTCCGAGGACCAGCTTGTGCCCATGATCTCCACACAGACCAACACCTGCCCCTGACCTTCAATGACATTTACATATAAATAGACATAAATAAGACCCTCCACAGTTCACACCTATGTCTAGGATGACAGGGCTCACAGCAGACCGCCTGATGACTGGGTGAGGAGCTGTGCAAGGGCTGGCTTCCCCGAGCTCTCAGTGGGACAGGGCTTCGTGGAGGGTCGCACACAAGTTCAAAGAAAAAATCACGGTGGGTCACATCATTGGCTTGAAGTGTAGTGAAACCCACTGCAAAAAAGATCCCTCATCTAAACCTTTAAAAAAATGAAACGCACCAACTGCAGTTGTTCAGGCTATAAAAGTTTCTAAGGTAGCAGCAGAGAATATTCATAGAAAAAATACACTTTTAAGAAAATATCTGAAAAAATCTAAAGAGATAAAGTATAAAAAGTTTAAAAAATATACCTTAAGACAAAATATTGCCCAAAACATATAAAACTCAATTTTTTAAAATTCGCCGATCTAAATTTAAACGAGGTTGCTGCAGCTGTGGCTTGCCATCCTCTACGTGGGGACGAAGGGACGAGGGGTCTTGCAGGAGAGCCCCAGCTCCCACCTGACCGCCCATGCCCTGCCCTCCTGGGGGATGCAAGGGGAACGGCCTGGGACTGCAGACCCCGGGACAGCTGTTCCAGGACGTTCTCAGAGCCACAAGGCTGGGCCGCAGGCGCGTCCACGTGGCTCAGGTCTCCACCAGGATCTCAACCACATGCTCCAGCTCACCCAGGTCGGATTTGCAGCTGGAGCCCGCGGGCGGGATGGCGGGGGCCAAGCCCTCCAGCACGTCACAGGGGCCCGGCTTGGCGCCCCCCATCATGCCTGTGAGCACTGTGTCCAGATCGTAGTAGGGACTGTCCACGTCTGAGAACAGCTCCTCCATGCAGCCGGGGCTTCTGGTCTCCAGTGTTTCGAATATCTGATCCAGTGACTTCTGAAAGCTGCCCCTGCTTTCCTGAGGGCCATCCACCCAGATGCTGCTCTGCGGGCTCCTCGGCACCTGTGCCAAAGGGGCTGGACACAGGTCAGAAAGCAGGCCTTGCTCATGGTCCCCCAGGTTGGGGTCAGGGTGCACCCCCTCCTGCTCCCGCACAGCTCGGCACAGGATCTCGGTGGAAACCAGGCGGTCCAGTGGAGCCCGCCCTGTGCCCTGGGGCACCGCCGCGTGCCACGTGCCATCCTGGGTCATCTCCTCCTGAATCTGCCGCACCGTGTTGGCGATGAGCACCGAGCGGCAGAGGTTGGGTTCCACCAGCATGTGGCAGAGTTGCAGCTTCACCAGGGACATGTCCAGGAGCGACTGCCGCTGCAGGCTGTAGGGTACTGTGCGCAGGCCGGCCAGGGCACCCTCTACATCCTCCTCATGGTCGGCACACTTCCTCTTCAGTCCCCGCGAGAACATCATGCCCTGTGGAGACCAGGAGTCACTTAGTGCACGGCAGAACCACTAGCCGACACCACCACACAGCCCAGTCCCCAACGGTCCAGGGAACAGCGCCGGTGTAACTAGCAGTGAGGACACAGGCTCAGGAGACACCCCTCCCTCAGATCAGCCACCTGCCGGCAAAGGCCTGCAGTCCAGGTGGTCACATTGTCCTGTACAAATGACAACTCTCTGAACAACAGCACAATGTTCCCCACCAAAAAAGATAAAGGAACTAAAACTATGAAAAAGACATATTTTAGGGTACCTGCATAACGAACATGTGTATACCTAACCCTGAATTGTACCCCACATCTTCAAAATAAAAAAAAATATTAAAAGAAGAAAATATACATTTTTAGTGATGTGAGATGCAAATCTGCATCACAAATCTAACCGTGGTGCCTTGAGAGAAGGGACTGGGGTGGAGTAAGCCAAATGGGCACAGCACCTCCAGCCCTCAGATGGCCAGGACCTGGCCCCAGTCTCCTGCTGACACTGACCGAGGACAGTCACCTGTGCTGTCAGAAGGTTTGTTTGCTGTCCCTAAAAGCACCTGCACATACATGGCAGAGACAGCAACTGTGCTGGAGCTTCACGCGGGGGGCCGCGGTCACTGCCCTCAGAGCAGGCCCTGGCAGAGCCACCGGCCATAGGTACCCTTTGCTCCCATTCCTGAAGCCGCCCTGGGTCTCACACTGACCCCCGAGTCCCCCTGAGTCCATCTCTCCAAAGGCAGAGGCCCTGGGGTGGGGCTGGCTCCATCTGCTACCCACGAGTCCAACTCCATCCACTCTGAAACTCCACCCAGGTACAAGCTAGGTCCTACCAAGAACCCCGAGAGGCAGCCTCTCCCCTCAACCAACTTCTCTCTTCAAAGGGACCAACATGCTGTGGGGTGTGTGTGTGTGGGGGGGGGTCCCGCCAGGACTCTGTGGCTCCTATGGTGGGCCACAGAAGTCCTCAGCATGGCTCACAGCACTGGCACTGCAGGTTGAAAATGCAGATTCCTGGGCCTTACCCCAGACCTGGGCCAGCTCTGGGCAGGCACCTGCAGCTCAGCCCGCATTACTCACTGCAGACACTGGTACAGCAAAAGTGTGAGAGCATTAGAGTGCAGAGCAGAGCATGGCTCTGGCTTTTCACCTGCACCACCTGGGCCAGCCACTCTGGGATGGTCCGAGGACGCAGAACACTGCTGTGCACGCCCCCCCCCAGGGGCCCCCAAAGGTCATGGCTGCTGGTTCTCCCTTCGACAAAAGCCCTGCTTTCTCCTGAATTTTCTTTCATGCCATAGATCTCACCACCCATGATATAACACTCTTACATTTTATAAAACTAAGTGACCTTTGGGCATTTATCCCAGAGATGCGAAAACCACTGTCCATAAACAACCCCCTTCAACAGGGCACAGCTCCACAAACACTAGTCCATCTACTCCATGAAATCTTACTTGGCCACAGGAAAGAGCTCAGGGTAAGGGCCCTTTGCCCCGGACTGTGATGGGGTTCTATGGAGCACACACCTGCATGTGTACACACATCCTACGTGGCCACACAGACTTGGACCGGGCCATGCATCCTGTGTTCTGCACAGGTACCAACCCTGGGAGTAACAAAGGAAGGGCACACAGGATCTCCTGTAAGTTAAAAAATACAAAAAACACGAAGTGACCATAGCTTATTCCCCCTACAGGACTAATTTCTCCAAAAGAGCAGGCAGACATTGCCATGGACACAGCCCCTCAAGGCCATGGGTACCCTTGTCTCTAGCTTCTTAATGCTTTTTTTGAGTCGAAGTCTCACTCTGTCACCCAGGATGGAATGCAGTGCACACTCACCGCCACCGCAGCTTCGACCTACTGGACTCAGGTGGTCCTTCCACTTCAGCCTTCCAAGGAGCACAGGCACGCACCATGCCCAGCTAACTTTGGATTTACTGCAGACAAGGTCTTGCCAAGTTGCCCAGGCTGATCTCAAACTCCTGGACTCAGGCAATCCTCTTGCCTCTGTCTCCCAAAGCACTGAGATTACAGGCATGAGCCACTCCACCCGGCTCTCAATTCGTGTTTTTTTTTTTTGAGGTGGAGTCTCACTCTGTTGCCCAGGCTGGAGTGCAGTGGCACACTCATGGCCACCACAGCATTGACCTGCTGGGCTCCGGTGATCCTTCCACCTCAGCTTTCCAAGTAGCCGGAACTACAGGTACACGCTTCCACACCCAGCTAATTTTTGATTTATTGTAGAGACAAGTTGCCCGGGCTGGTTTCGAACCCATGGGCTCAGGCAGTCCACTCACCTCAGCCTCCCAAAGTGCTGGGATTATAGGCTGAGCCACTGAGCCCGGCCTTATTTTTTTTTTTTGGTTGGAGTCTCACTTTGTCACCCAGACTGGAATGCAGTAGCAAGCTCATGGTTACCAGGGCATTGACCTGCTGGGCTCTGGCAATCCTTCCACCTCAGCCTTCCAAGTAGCCAGAACCACGGGTGCATGCTACCACGTCTGGCTAATTTTTTATTGATTGTAGAGATGAGGTCTCGCCAAGTTCCCAGGGCTGGTCTCGAGCCTGCAGGCTCAGGCAATCCACTCATCTCGGCCTCTCAAAGTGCTGGGATTATAGGCTAAGCCACCAAGCCCAGTCTCTCAACTCTGTTCTTTTTTTTTGAGAAAGCAGGATTTATTGCGAGGACAGAAAAGCTCCCACAGTTGGAGCGGATTCACTCTATTTAAATGAATTGGCCAGGCACTACCTACAGTCCCAGCACTTTGGGAGGTTGAGGTAGGAAGATCGCAGGAGGCCAGGAGTTCAAATGGTGCAAGAGAGTGAGACCCCACCTCTAAAAAATAAAATAACTAAAAACAAATAAATGATTGTAAGAATGAGTTTATCATCAAAATATATGACAAATATTTAAATTATTTCTGGTAAGTATTCAAGTTTTGTCTTGCCTGCAAATTTAACTTTTACAGAGTTTTTTTTTTTTTTTTTTTTTTTT